ATTAATTAATTAATTAATTGATGGACAAGATGCTGGATATGTCTATGAACTAGATGGTTGGAATCTTTTCACAATATATACACATATCAAGTCAACACAATATACATGTTAAATGTCTTACAGTTTTGTCATCTATACCTCAATAAAGGTGAAAATAAATGAATAAATAGATGAATGGATAAATATTTTGTGAACATTAAAAAAATATTCAAATGCTTTATATTTTTTCTCAAATTGAAATTGGGCTATATCAGCTTACATAATCCTTGATATTCTGTACCTCTATTGCGTATTCCTCCATGTACTCTCCCTAGGAAAGGTGTAGTGCATAAAAGCTCTTATTTTTCAAAAGAACTCTCATCATTCCTGAACAGCTGACTCTGGAAATGGCAACTCACCAGGGTGACTTGGTTATTCGTGTACTTGTTTGCACTTCAAAGGGAAAAAAAAAGACAAGCCTGTTTGTTTTCTGATACTCAAGAAAATTTTGCACGTGGCTGGTTTCGGAGAAATAATCAAAGGAGAGCAGCTCGTATCCAAGCTGAGGCGGCCAGTCACTCCGGGGAGGTTGTTGACAAGGGGTCCAGATTTGGCAGTTTATCCAAGAGGGTAGATTGTTCGTTAAACAGAAGCCTCATCAAGCATTGCTGTGATATGGTTTACAGATGAAAAGCTATATTCTTTACTTAACATTCACAAGTTGCTTATGGGTTAATTAGCCCATCTGCCACAACAAATGGATTCACACTTTTTGTGCCTTGATTGCTAAAAAGTGACGGTTTTTCTCCTCTCTGCTTACCCCTATCAGTAAAATAGAAAATAACTTTTTAGAAACAAGATGTTTATCTTTTCATGTCTGCAAAAATGTGTGTAAGTTCAACTTGCCAACAGAGTCGATATGCACAGGGATGGGGGGGAAACCTTTTCAGAAAAGGGCCCTAGGATCAGTTTTTCTAATGATCCCCCATCACCTGTTTATTTGTTAGTTCTTTGGTAATGATTAAGACTTCCTTCCACTTGCTTCCGATCCCAAATTCAGTTTTTATGAGGACAACCACGTGTCTCTATCCTGAACTTCTATCACTGGCATCTCCCTTTTCTCTTTAATGCTGTTGCTTGTTCTGACACCTTCTTTATGCAGAATGCACCTGCTTTCTCCTTTACCTCAAATCAGGTGGCTTACTTACCAGTCCAGAGCCCGGCCGCCTCACTCTGGGACCGCTGGCCTCTTACCAAGTGTCAGTCACATGAGTCACTTCAGTGACATTGACATGCTAGTTGTCGGCCGTACTAGAACTAAGTCAGTTCCGGCCACAGTTATCAAAATGCCAGATGGTATCACATTAGAGGGAACCACCGTGTGTATGTCTCCTGGTTGCTATGACACTCTCACCTCTCACCCCTTGGTTTCTGTCTCTATGCCGATCTTAAATCAGATTGGCAGCCTTCTTGAAACCCTTCCACGTGTCAACTTCAAACTCAAAACCCACAGTACGTGAGCATTTCCAGTTGCCTTCCATGTCTTCCCATCAGTTTTGCTCCCAACCCTCCTGATTCGGGTTTTCTACCTGAACATCAGCGTCCCTGTACTTCTCTGGTACGTCTGCCCCACTCCTTGTACGAGGAGAGAATGGAAAGACCTGGGACCGCTTGGAACCGCCCCTTTAACTACCTATATTGCATAAGATACCTTTGACAGAGGGCTTCTCCATCTCTAGTCTGCTTTCATAAAAAGTAAAAAATTGTATGTTGTCGACACAAAACCAAAACTAAGAGGGAGAGGAGCAGGGAGAGAGGGAAGAAGTAGGGGTGAGAAGCCAGGACAGGAGGGAGGGAAAGAGTATGATGACAAGACTGTGTGTGATGAGGCTGCTGCGCCGTGAAATACCAAACACCTTGTTGCTGGTGCAGGATCTCAGCACTTGGGAAAAAAACAAAGCTTTGCTACTAACTTATTTGTGAATTTACTACAAAGCTTTTCTGTAGGATTAAAACCTTAGAAAATTCTCCCAGTGTCATGCTTCTCCTTAGGTGTAACTGACAACTGAGCAAAACAACTGCCAGAAAATTCCAATTAAGCCATTCTTTTTTGGTTGTGAAAGGCATAATTTATAAAACGGTGACCTTTTGGTAGGCTAACAGTATGTTGATGAACTTCAAGTGAAGTAAAAAGAAAAACAAAAAAACAGTGTTTTTTATCATCAGGGCTTCTTGCATTTTCTACAGGATCATGTGGAGCCTTCAAAGGTCATAGACTTCTTTACTTTGAGAGATATTAAACAGCTTATGAAAATAGAGGTCAGCTGCATAACTGGAAGAAAAGAGCATTCCCAATGGGAAGTAAGATATTTGAGATTATATTGACTGTCCTTTTTTAAGATTGTATTTGACTGTCTTTAAAGCAAAAATACGAAATTTGCATATAAATGCCATGCTTGTAAATGAATGAATGTGCCGGTCTTAGAATCAATAGCTATTGATCTTACAGTGTGAATACTAATATCACTAATCATTATGATAAGATTCCACAACCTAAAATACTCTTCAGTAACTTTTGTGTTTCTGTGGAAATAGTCATACTTTTATGGATTTTGCAAAAATAATATTACTTAGCCTATAGAAACATAAAATAAACAGCCTTTATCAATAAGGAACTCATTTAAAAAAATATTCTTGCTTTGAAGCTCATTAAAACAAATAAGAAGCAGAGGTGTGCTAAGATTGTAGGCAAGGTGCTGAGCCGCCATGGAGAGGAAATAAAATAATGGCATCTGTCTGCCCACTTAAGGACATCTAATTTATACATTAGAAGGATTTAATGGATGACTGGAAGAAGACCTGGCCACAAATTATTTTTCCCTTTACTCTCAGATATTGCTTGAAGTTCCCTCAAAAAGGGTGCTGACTCCTTCCATTCTGCCACTCTTAGGGGTTAGATGCAAGGCCTATAGGGAAAGGTAAGATACGGACAGAGTACCAGTAGGTTTTGAGCAGTTGCTCGCAGGTTATGACCGAGGGTACTCTTCAGAGAAGGAAGGGTGTGAGACCCTCCCGGAGTGGATCCTCCCTAAGCTGAAGGAACACTGTGGGGAGAGAAGCCTGGGAAGCAATTTCTCCCTACCACGTAGATTCTGACAGAGCCGTCCCCTCTAGCTCTGCATCATCTCCCACGCCCCTGGAATTGATAAATGCTGACCACAGTGTGATGCGTAGAGGGTGACGCCATTCAACATGAGGGGCCAGGTTTTAGGTTGTGCTTTTCCATTCTGGAACTTCTCTCTCATTGGCCAGCTGCGTGTGTTCAAGGGAGAGAGTGGTGCCCGTGGCCCAGAGCACCTGTTGCCTGACAGGGGCTCGAGGAGGGAGTGGTGGTGTCTGTGGCATCCCATGCTCACACACACACACACACATGCCCAGGTCCATCATCTCATCCCAAGGTCGTGCCAGTGAAGGCTCGGTGGTGATTTTCAAGTTCAGTGCATAGAGAAGAGAATCAGAGAGGGTACACGTTAGTGAGTGTGTGCGCACTGGGAGGTACCCACTCGAGTCTCCCACTGAAGTTTCTTACTAGCGACTCAAGAACTGTGCTGGGACGTGTTTTGCTGGTGAGGAATCTTAATTGCTCAATTTTTGAAGGGACATTAACTCTTTCAGGGTCCACTGAGTACATTAGCTCCTCCAGGTCATTTAGCCTGTCTCTACGTGACGTGACAATTTCTACCTGGCATTGTGTCATTTAGCCCTGAACGTCCCACACTGGCTCTGAGCACACACATACTGCTGGTCTGCTCAGAGACAGAGAATGTGCTCGCTGGAATGTCAGCAGCCTCTCACTGACTCCCTTCTCTGCTTTGTAGAGCACCCAGGGGTCTCTGAGGATTTGCTGATGCATCGCAGTTATCAGAGCCTCACAACAGACAGGTGGCTTCGTAGTAGAAATGGTATGATTTTAGGGGTTTTGAGCACAGTACTGTGCCCACAAGCATCTCTTCCTGTTTACAAAAGCCAGCATTATTGCTTCATTTGGGGTAGGAGTGGTGAAGCTGTTTCAGGATGCTATACTCCTTTATTAAAACATAACTTCCACTCAGAAGCTGTGGCATCAGGACCCATTTGGGGGGGGTAAATTGATGACTATAGAGAGCAGTCTACACTGCCCTTTGAGAAGGTTTCAGCAATGCAGGGTTGGCTGGGGAACACCGCTGGCCCTTACTAAGTAGGCATGGCAGTGTGTCCCAGCAAGAATAATTTTTCTCTCCCAACTGCCAGTGACTGGTCCTGCTGAGAAGCAGCAGTGGGGGCCGAGGGGCACGTCACCTCTTTCTCTGGGATGTCAGACCTGGGAGAGCTGTAATGGAAACGCATGAGGGGCCAAGGGCAGCTGTGCATTCACTCAGAGGTGTTGGGGCAGCGACCCTCTCATGGGCTTATAAATCAGCTGGGGTCTTGTTAAAATGCCAGTTGCGACTCGGCAGGTCTGGGGTGGGGCCAGGGATTCTGCATCTCACGGGTGATGCTTATCCGGCTGGTCCTCAGACCACACTTTGAATGGCAAGGATTTAGATAAATATACATAATAGCAGCAGCATCTTAGATAAAAAGATGATGAATATAAAAGAAATTTGACAATATCCTTAAAAAATTAGATTTCAGGCCAGTAAGACTTTGATTAAATATTGAAAATCCCACCCAGAGATCAATTGATCATAATAAAAAAAGAGGAAAAACTTAACATTTCTACTTATCTGCAGATTTTGACGGACATTTTCTGAGGCTGATGTGTTGTTTAGATTTTAAAATCTTTACTGATAATTCTGAAGGTGTGCCTCCTAAAGACAGAATCACTGTTTTCCTAATCACCTTCACCTCCCCGTGTTGGTGACCCTTTATCAAATTCCTATCCGTGGGTTTAAGTCTCCCCTCCCCACCTTTTATGCATCTGTCACGACAGCCTCTGTCTTCTTTCCTCCGTGGTGAGCGGTGTCCTCCTGTCTTTGCAGGTCAACGGGAAAGCTCTCTCCAAGGCCACCCATGGAGAGGCAGTGGAAGCTTTTCGAAACGCCAAGGAGCCCATCGTGGTGCAGGTGCTGAGGCGAACGCCTCTCGGTAAACCGGCCTGCGGAATGGCCCCCGCAGTGCCGGTCACGCACGCCAGCACCCAGACGGACATCACCTTTGAGCACGTCATGGCCCTGGCCAAACTCAGGCTGCCGACCCCCCCGGTGCCAGACATCTGTCCGTTCCTGCTCTCAGACAGGTATGTTCAGTCCTCTCTCCAAAGCCCTGTTTGTTTCTGTCCGTCAGCTGAAGTGGGTGTTGAACAGAATCAGTCACACTAGCAAGTTGACAGTGACAGAGGCAGGTTCTCAGGTTTGTTTGGCAAGTGTCTCCACTGTGTCTACAAGTAGTTCCCCGCCGGCCCTGCCGGCTGCTTCCCTGACCCACCCAGGTGCGTCAGCCCCGGAGTCATTCTGCTGAGGAGCAATGAGAAGTTCTGGCTGATTAGCTGTCTTCATATTTCCCGTCCCCAGGAGCCTCCCGCTACCCCGAGCACTGGTCGGGGAAACAGCTTTTCTCACCAAAGCTGCCGAAAACCTCAGGAAGACTGACACAGAAGTGGCCTGTTGATGCTGTTTTCCCCTCTCTAGGTCGCCACTGTCTCTGTCACTCTTTTGCTTTGCTCATCTTTAAAGGAAAAGATAGGACATTAATTAAAGTGCAATTCCCCAGAGATAGCTGTTACCCAGTATATTGAAACGTAAACCAAAGATCCTGGCTGGTAGTGAGCCTAAGTATAGAGCTACGGAATACCGAACTCTTAAAGCAATATTTCTTTCCAATTTTTACCTAATTTAAAGGCAATTAGAGATGTTTTAATCAAAGGGTGTTTTGCCCATCTATTCTGTTCTGGGAGCTCTTGGCAAATACTCAAACATTGTGGAGAGTTTGATTTATGAAGGAGGTAGCCTCTTTGGACTGCATCTGCTTGCCTTCTGCAATCCCTGCTCCACTTTGTAAAACACAGATCTGATTGTGCCACTTCCCTGGTAAGTCCATTTCATGGTTCACATGTGTACATGAGCATCACCTGGGAAATATGGAGGACAATACAGTGCAATGCCCCATGCGCCGTTGGGCCAGCTATTGAAGAGGTTTTGGAGGGAGGCCCAGGCATCAGAATTTTTCAAAAATCTCTGTAGGCAATTTTGATGTGCAACCATGTTTGGGAAACTACCCCTTGAAACTTCAAGTTCCAGGAGGCAGGGACTCTGTCTGTCTTGCTAGGACTGTTCATTCATCCATCCCTTATGTCAGGCACTGAGCTTGGTGCTGGGCACAAAACTGGGAGCCAGAATAAGGTCACTACCTCCCCCCTGAAGTTTATATTCTGGGGGGAGATGAACAATACATAAGCCAGCAGACAAGTAATAGTCATTGGTGCTTCCTGGCGCAGGGCAGCCCTCCAATAAATAACTTCCCTGAATGAGTAACAGCTACCGTTTGTTAACTAACTGCACATGCTTTAGGTCATATTCCAAGTGTTCTGCATATACTAACTCATTTAGTCCCCTCCTCAGCCTTGTGAAGAAGTGCATTATATTATTACTGTCCCCATGTCACAGCTGAGGAAACAGATGTTAAGTAATTTGGCCAAGGGCATGTGACAATGAGGTGACAGGGCCGGGCTTCTGAGCCCAGGGCCCACTCTCTTAACGAGTATGCTGTGTCATTCTTGCTAAGTGCTGTGGGTCTCAGCCTGGGAGCAGCCTCTTCAGCAGAGTCTCTGGGACTGCACAGGCACACCCCCTCCATGTACTCTAACAGCTTCCCTATTTCCTCTTAGTTATCACACCACAATAAGATTCCCACATTCCTGCCATAGCCAATGAATAGGACAAGAGTGGCATTTGGGGCACCAGTTGATTTCCAGTACTTGGCATAGGGCCTGGCTCTGGTAGACAATAAATGTTTATTGAATGAATAAGATGTTCCTGCCCTGCAGGAAACACATCAGATGCCCCAAATAGTAGGCTTGGACATTTCCCCAGCCCAGTAGGCTTTGAAGAGCTGGGCCAGAGCTATGCAAGGAGGATTTACCTGGTAGACCAGCAAGCAAGGTGCTGCGTGCACAGCTTTTGCTGTTTGGGCCACAGACAGCCATAGGCACCAGTGGGAAGAGGCTGGTAGAATATTTACGCTGACCACTTGAAGGCAGCGGAACACGGCTCACTCACCCTGCAGCTGGTGATAGGGGGACTGTTTACACTGGTACCTCCGGTTTTTCTGTTACGTCCCACTGGCAGGCTGTGGAGTCCCCACCTGCAACCAGCTCAGTCAACTACACTTAGGCCTTTTCACTGACTTGTAGTAACAGAGGTGACCTTACCCTTTGCTGTTAAACTGTGCTAAGCCTTCATGTGGTATAAAGTGCAGTCTGTGTATTACAGCACACAGCAATTTGAAAGCATGTCTATAAATTATTTAAAACATTTCCCAAAATTGGAGGCTATATGAAAGTCAGGTACCCTGTCCCAGGTGCCCCCCATTCCCTTTACTTAATCGGCTCTGTCACTGGGTATTATTAAACCCTATGGCTTATAGGAGTTTCCAGTGTGTTAGCACCATGAATGCTGTTTAATGTTCGTGCACAGGCCCTTTATCAAAGAAGGAAACATGTGGGTAATAAGGGAGAGGAAGCAGGTCTTAAGGAATGGGGTCACTGTGAATGCATTTTACAATATGAGAAATACTTGCATTTGGAAATGTTTCAAACACTTAGGAGCTGTGTATTTTGCAAGTGGTTGTACTTTGTTACCAAATACCCCCTTTGGGGCAGACAGCATTCGCTAATGCCACACCCCCATTACGGAGCAAGTCACGCTGGCTGGAGTAGAAGCCAGCCAGAGAGTTATCAGTGAAGCACTGTGGCCTGTCAGAGATTTTGCAGCATGCAGCTCTGACCAGGGGCTTTACCTTACATTCTCTCAGAAAACCAGATGGATGGGCTTCATTTTGGGGGAGGAAAAAAAAGCAGTTGCTCTTTCTGAGCTGCAGTCCATTTAAAGGCTAGATCGTTCAGGTCTTAGGGCAGAGAACACTCAAGTGAAATTCTAAAGTCAGTCTTAATCTGAAAACAACGCTTTTGATCCATTCCTGTGATGTTACCACATTCCCATAGCTGCCATTCTCTTCATCCAATGGAGCACGAATTTTATGAGGACAATGAGTATCTTTCCAGTTTACCTGCTGACGCAGACAGAGCAGAGGACTTTGAATATGAGGTAAGAGCATTTTCACACTGCTTCACATTTCCTCAGGAAGGGATGGTTGAGGCGTTTTTCATAAGAAAGAAAAAATTAATTTGTCACTGTGAGAAATAGTTTCTCTATTCTATATGTCAAAGGAAAGATCTTTTAAATATGATTTGGTGTAGCCACGTGGCTTTAGTATTTTAAGTACATTAGAAAACATTTTATAATATGAGCCTGAAAATAATTTGCTTACATTTTTGTTGGTTTTTATATATAATATTATGACAGCTACACCAAGTAGTTTGCAGAAAAATTGTATTTGAAACCAAGATTGTGTTTACTATTTTCATTCATTATATAGTATTTTGATTTTAATTGATAAACTAAATTTTACATTATAGTCCCCTTCACAAATCCAGTATTCTCTTTATTTGTGACTCAAGTATGTATTCTAAAGGGCAGCCCACTGACTTTCTAGGAGAGGAGGCCTCGTGCCCTTTGTTGTTAGACTGTGTTTAGCCTTTACATGGTATATGTTAGGGTGCCTGTACTGTGATACATAGCAAATCCCAAAGCCCTTCTATTAATTATTTAAAAGCTTCCACAAAAGTTAAAGGATTTATCCTAATATTTCCTCTGCTTCTGTAGTCTGTAAATCTCTGAAAGGTTTCAGACTACTCTGACATTTGGAAATAGAATAGATGGAGGAGGTAAAGAAGCCACTGTCAACAAGCAGGGCGCCCGTGATCATCTGCCCTTTTGCTGCTCCAGATGATGTCATACACATTCAGCAAAATGTTCTTTTCCATTTTGCAACCGGGAAATCCTGAAATCTCTTCCCTTAGGAGGATCTGAAATCAAATAAGGCCTATTCAGTGAAGCTCACCTAAAGCAAATAGACGTTTATTTGAAATCTTTCCCCCACAAAAGTCATTGCCGGGGATTACAGAGAATATTACTTCTTTTCAGCCAGAATTTGGAAAGATGTGCAGCAATACCTAGCATCTTATCACTGTTGTTTGTGTTAATTTTTTTTCCCCTCCTCTCTGTTCAGTTGATTGAAAAGTTTTATTTTATAAATCCGCTCAAGTATTGGTATTCATTGAAACTCCCATTAAGATTTCTCTACTCATGCAAAGTAAATTACAAACTTTGAGTCATTTATTCAAATACTTCAGGATTAAATTATGGTTTTTTTTTTCAGGTAATAAATACTTTGCATTTAGGGACTGGAATGGTCTAGATCACTTCAGCTTTTCATTTATTTTGTGCCTTAAAACTTTATTAAAATAACTCTGTGTGCCTGAGTGGGGAGCATGAGAGAGATGCTTACTTAAGCTAAGTAGATTATGAGTAAAAAGAAATCATTTTAATTGATTAGCATATTACTGAGTATTACAATACAGACAGATTTCTGCACATTCATATAGGGCTTATGGCAGCTGATCCACAGCCTCCTTTTGACCTATCTCATTCCTAAAAGATGCCAGCATCAGGATTCTGACAGGGGGAAATGCTCAGACAGGTCCTCCATAGGCTATAACCTATAAGTCCAGGGAGAGGAAATCCTGGGGCAAAATACCTCTAAAAACCTAGTCAGTCAAAGGGAGAAATAAAGTTTAAAATCCATTTATTGCTCACAAACTGCAGTCCCAGGCCATCTCTCTTTCTCCTGCTCCAGCAGAAGCAAAACCACCCCTCCCCTCACCTCTCCAGCACAGATCAGCCCTCCTTGCCCAGGTAATTGCCCATTGATATGGAGATGAACTTCTCTGGACTCCTGAGGAATGATGCAAATGCCCTAAAGCCATACTTCTCTCCACCTCTGAACGCCTATTGATATGCAGATGTACTAAAGCCAGGAGAGGTGTTCTGAAAATGTTACAATTTTACCCACAAATCTCAACTAATCACAGCATCACAGTCATTAATTTGCTGTCAGCTGGAACTCTCTTGCCCAAGGTACCTTTCTGAATGGTTGAAATAAAGAATGTTCCCATGAAATTTAAATAAGGAACAAGTTACTGGGACAAGCTTCAATCTTGAGAAAGGATGCATTTGAGAACAATAAACATGGTTAAAGGTGTCGGGGGAAGCATGGGGGAAAACCTCCAGGACAACCCACCAGATTTAGGAGAGAATAGTAATTCTACCCAGCACTCCTCAGTCTGTTAGTTACAGGGCAGCGTGGCACACACCACCCCTCATGGCTGCGTCAGTTTAGACGGTGAAACCTAGTCAGACTGCTGCTGTGGCCAGAGCAGTGTGAATGCCACTGTAGGTGGGGGGGACTTAGAAGTGTTGAGCCTGTCCTGTGTACTGCTGTGCCTGGAGGCAGACTGGCTGAGTGTTTCAACTGAATGGTTGAAATAGGACCCCAGCTTCTCCAGGAGCTTTGCCGTACCCAGGAGCCCGGACGGTAGGGTGGAGGAATACCTCCAGGAAAGACCAGGTTTGTGTCACCTAAAGAATGTCATAGGAGACTGAGGTCTAACGACCAAAGTGAGGACTTCATCTCAGAAAGAAACTCATTCCTCCCCAACCTAAACATGACACACAGCAGCAGGCAACTGGAGGAGGAGAAAGAAGGGTCTACCTGTGTTCATTCATCCCACCAGAGGAGTTAATGAGCACTTAAAATATGGCAGGCTTTCATCTGAGTGTGGGGTTGATGATGCCCTGCCCTGGGGGAGAGAGGCAGACAGTAAACAAGGAAAGTTGGGCTGCATCAGATGGCGCTGGTGCCAACGGAGAGCAAGTGTGGTGACAGGAAGGGATGCAGGGTGCTGCCGTGGGGGTGCTCGGGGAAGGCCTCGCTCTAAGACACCCGAAGAAATTTAGAGAGCCAGCCATATGGATATCCGAGGGAAGAACCTGCGGGTACAGAGGGGAGGGCAAGTGCAGAGGACAGCAGCAGGAGCGTGCCTGGCATGCCCAGGGAGGAGCAGCCCATGGGCAAGTGGGAGACAGGCGGGAGGTGAGGGGGGAGAGGACGGAGATGAGGGGGGGAGTAGGGGCATATCTTGGGGGGCCCTCGGCCCGTACTATGAGATGAGAGATTTGTGGGGAATAGCAGGTCCGTGTTCTGAAGCCCGAGTGAGGTCCCTGTGGCTACTGGAGTGAGTCTGACAGGCTGTAGCCGAGCCGCCAGGTGGAAGGGAGGGTGGACTGGACCTGGAGGCTGAGGAGGAACTGCCGAGTCCTGGTCCTAGCGGGACAGTATGCACCCCGGCCCAGGGGGCTTTGCGGAAATGTCTGTCTCCATGACTTGACTCAGAGCTTTAACATAGTTTGTGCTGGGCCAGTTCTTCTTCTTCTGACTTTTTAAAAGCAAAATATCATAGGCTAGAGTGAAGCCCAGCTCCTGGCACCCACTGAAACGAGCATAATCCGTCTGCTCGTTAAGACAGAAGGTGCACAGGACTGCGCTTCTGGACCCGCTGGAACTCAGTCTATGGAATTCCAGGCCTTTCGGTAGACTCGGCAAACCAAAGCTGACCTGTCTGTCTCGTGAATACATATTTAGGGACTTTTAGTGCATGGGCTATTGACCCAATGGACCAAAACAGACTGGACTGTCTCATAAATACATATTTAGGAACTTTTTAACATGCAGATTATCGCATTGATAGACAGTAACAGCTTCCTTCATAGCCATGGCTGGCAGCAGATGCTTCTTTGGAGATATTATTGTGATTGTGTCAATGTTATGGTGACTCTGGTGTGTTAGGAGCTGCTATGAAATTGTAAGGACACCCGTATCTCACCTTGGCCCAGCACCATGCTGTCTCAGGAAATTATATTGGACTGGGTTTAAAATCTCCCCACAGGGCTTCTGAAAAGTCTCCAAAGGCCAGCCCATATTAAAAGATACACAGCTTTCAATTCATTCTCTTTAAACATGATGACACTTGTTCTCTAATTTAAAATGATGAACTACCTGAATTTATTTTTGAGAGAAAAAAAACAAAAATATCAACATTCGAACAACACACCCATCCTAAGAGTCAAGCCCTCCGTGCCGCTGAAATGCCACCGACGATTAAGCGTCTCTTCCTCCTTATTCCGAACTTTGTTCCTTTCCTTCCTGGGGTGAGCTAAAGGCTGAAATGAATCCTAAGTAGCCCTTAGCAAGTCAGAGGCAGGTCTCAAATCCCGCCTCTGCCAGAAATAATTTACAGGGAAAGGCCTCAAGAAATCCCAAGCTCTTCTGGCCAACTCCTAGTCGTGACGGGCTTGCTCTGGCCCGGGTGCAAGGAAGATGTTGACTCGTATGTAGAACTCGCAATTAAGCCTCCATAGCGCTAATAGAAGAGTCAGAGAACTAAGAAGCACTACATTTTGATAGTATAAAATGTCACATTAGCCAAGACAAGCAGATAATTTAAGCCACATTTTCTGAGCCTGATGATTTCATCACGTAGAAATGCTACTTGAAACCACTGCGACTCTGCCCCCAAGATCAGCTGAAGAAACTACATCAAACAGCCTGAATCACGCACACATGGGGCTCCCGTACGTGGGCGCTGTCATCAGAACGAAAAGGAAGTCAGAAGTTTGTGTGAAGACATGTGAAAGGGGGAAGGACAGGAGGACAAGCCTGTGTCAGAGTTGCAAGCACATGTTAACTGGAAACTGAACTTGGGCCAGTGTCTACGAATAGGAAAGAGCACTTAGCACGTTCATCGGCTTCCTCTTGGCAATGCTTAGGCAAAGTGTAAGCAAACCCTCGTGCTGTGCTGGGAAGTGTTCATTTGCAAAATTTACCTCCCAGAGCTGGATGCCCGCTCATAGGTACAGAATATTTGTGAGAGTTTAAGTGTATCGTCTCTCTCCCTACATAGTTAGAGATTTATCACTCAAGGAGATGTTCATTCAAAAAAGCAGTAATGAGAA